GGAAAGTCGCTTTGGGCTCAGTACCTTCGCGGCAAGTACTGCCCTAGACGTGCCAACCACCCTTGTTGGGTCACGGCTGTTGATCACGATAGCAGACAGTGGCGGCGCCTCACTAGGGTCGGGAGGCGAGCCCAGGATCACATCTTTTGGGTTTTAGGCGGGGGCGATGTCAGTGTCTGGGATGGGTGGTGGGTAGGTGATAGGCCGTTGTCTAGGGATAGGCAGGTGTCGCATTCCCCCTACCTGATCGTGAGCGACCTCTGGACGGACGGGTCGTGGGATAGGGGGAAGCTTGATAGGGAGTTGGGGGCTGGTGCGGGTTTTAGCGAGCAGTTATTAGATCAGATCCAGCAGATCCCTATCTCGGGGGACGGTTCAGATAGCATGAGGTGGAGACTTACATCATCAGGTGTGTTTTCTACTACCTCGGCTTGGGAGCAGATAAGGCTGAGGGATCGTCCTAATCTCCTCTTCGGGGCTATCTGGAGTGACCTTTTCACGCCTACTATTTCGGTGTTCCTTTGGCGCCTCCTCTTGCGTCGGATACCTGTCGATACTGTGCTACACGCGAGAGGGATCTCCTTCCCCTCTCGGTGTGTGTGTTATTCTGAGACTGGACGACATGAGACTGAGACCTTTACCCACCTTTTTCTAGAGAGTGAGATTGTGAGAAGAGTGTGGGAGCATTTTGCCACTTGGACTCATATATCCCTACCCACCACATACAGTTTTTTTGAGCTCCTGAGTTTTTTCTCACAGAGCACACACCTTAGACACGTGGGCTTCCTCATTCTTTGTCTGATCCTTTGGTTCACCTGGACAGAAAGGAATAGTGCGAAGCATAGGGATATTACTTTTATGTTTTCTCACATTTTTTTGCAGGTAGAGAGATATATTTCACTCCTCACCGCATTAGGCAGGCTCACGGCTCGAGACTGGACAGGCTGCACACCACCGCATCGCTACTTGGTGGCCCCACCATCGCCTGTTCGGCCTCCACGGGCCAGAGCTGTTGTTTGGCTGCGACCTGACTCTCCGTGGGTCAAGCTGAACACTGATGGCTCCTTCGATCGCCACACTGGACTTGCCGGAGGAGGAGGCTTGATTCGGGACCATAGCGGCGCCCTAATCACCGCCTTCCACGCGTCTATTCAGGCCTCCTCGAGCTACGATGTAGAGATTCAGGCACTACAGATTGGCCTTCAGATTGCTGTCCACCTCTCTAGTCATATATGGATCGAGCTGGATGCTGCGGCTGTCGCTACCCTCCTGACTTCGGGCCATCAGGGCTCGTGGCAGATTCAGCACCCGCTTCTGCGCATTAGAGATCTACTTCAGTCAGTCCATCACAGGATCACGCACATTTTCCGTGAGGGGAACAGACCGGCTGATTACCTGGCCAGCCTTGGCGCCACCATACCAGGCACACATACAATCCAGACCGACACTGCTCCACTCCGTCTTCGCACTCTTGTACGGATGGACCAGCTTGGATATCCAGCGTTCCACTTTCACTAGTTTAGTATTTCTACTTTCATTAGTATAGACATTTATCTCGGGCATCTGTTAGCCCGAAGATCGACTTTATATTGTAGTTTTTGTTTCTTTTTTGTTTTTCGGTTTTTCTTTCTTGTTTTCCTTTTGTTTTTGTTTTTGATTATCAGACTATGTAGACCTTTGTATCTGGTTCGTTGACATTTGGGCTCCCGTTTTTGGAGCCCTGATCTATGCACAGGTTGGGGATCCAACCCAATCCCCCGTCCTTCCGGGGCGTTGTTTGTTTAAAAAAAAAAAAAAAAACCTAGCAACAAAAGACAACTAACCTAGCAGCAAGAAAGAAATAACCTAGCAACAAAAGACAACTAACCTAGCAGCATCAGACAACTAACCTAGCAGCAAGAAAAAAATAACCTAGCAACAAAACTCAACTAACATAGCAACAACAAACAACTAACCTAGCAAGAAAGAAATGACATAACAAAAGACAAATGGTCAACGGTCAACGCCGGAAGTCAACGATTTTTGCCGGAAGTCAACGCCGGAAGTCAACGGTCAACGCCGGAGTCAACGGTCAATGGTCATAATAATATTTAAATAATTAAAAATAAAGAATTAAATAATAAAAATAAAAAATTATTATTTAAATCAAGATCTAAATCTTGTGGCTAGGAATGAGTCTCACGTACTCACTTTAAATAATGGGATGCATTGGAACCAATCCCTATATATATATATATCTTTCTAATTCTTGAAATCATTTAATAATAAGCGATGTATTTAATAAAAATGTAACATAATATATTCAGACCATACAAAAATTTGAACTATTAAAATGAAAAAATAGTTTGAGCTAACGTTGATCTAAAATATACATTAGTAAGTTATGACAAAATATTACATATAAAAAATAATTTTTAAATTTGTATGCCCAAATTAAAATATATATATATATATATATATATATTTTATATGTGATTGCTTTATTATTTTAGATGTAAAAAGTTGATAAAATGATCAATTAGTGTTAATTTTTTTATATTGTTAATTAATTTAGTTACTTGTAACACGACAAGTCTATTATAGATTTTTTTAATAAAATATAGATATAGATTTATGCAGAGTCTTCTCATTAACAATATATAATTTCTATGAAAAAATTGATGAAAAGTTAAATAGTTAATAAATTTAAAAGTAATAATTTTAAAATTAAATACATATCACATAAGTAAGAGCCAAATAATTTTAAAACACTGTTTCGCTAAAAAACCCTCGAAATCTCTCTCCCCGACGAAACCCTCGTCTCTCCCCGTCACTCCTCACGGTTTGCCTTCTCCGGCGTCGGCGTAGTTCGGGCCGGCGGTCACCTTTGACTGCTCGGCCCTCCCCTGACGTCACGCTATTCTGGATTCGCCGCAGGGGTCCGCGATTGAGCAAGCTTCTGGCCGTCGATTGCGGACGGTTCGGCTGGAGGTTGGTGGTGTCGCTCCTTGGACGTCGGAGGTCTCTGGCTGGTCTGGGTCGCCTATTCTTCTTCGATTGCGATCCTTTGGTTCTGCCATAGGTCGCCGGCATAGATGTGTGTTTTACTGGCGATTCGGTCGGAGGTTGGGCGGCGGTCGATGATTCCGCTGTCAAGGTACCGGCGGCCATCGATTGATGGTTGGTGGGGTGCTGGCGGTCGGCAATTGGATCTGCTCTCCATCGGAAATTTGGGTGGTCGGTCGTTTGGGGGTTTGGGCTTTTGGGTTCGGGTCTTTGGAGCTTGGTTCGGGTTGTGTGAGACTGTGGTGGGGTTGGAATGTGCGTATGTTGGTGGGTGGGTCGGGACTTTAACGGCTTGTTCGTTAGAGGTGAGGACTAGCAGTCCCTTCCTGGTTCTCTGGTGTTGGGTCAGGGTTTGGGTCTAGAGTATTTCGGGCTCGGTTAGTGGTGTTTGACGGGTTTGGTTTGTTCTGGCTTGGGGTGTTGCTCTTTAGTCTCTCTCGGTTGGAGGTGGGTCGATTCTGGTTAGGTTTGGGGTCCGGGTTTGGCTCGTTCGGCAGCAGTTTCAGAAGTTGGATTGGGCTTCAGATTATTATTGGAATCGATTGTTCTCTGCTGACTGTTGGGGAAGGGCTCGCTTTTGTGTTGCACCTTTTGTTTTTGTTTGTTTGAGTCTGTGTTAGGATTGTTTTTTTTGTCTGGGTGTTTTACCTGAGTGTTTGTGTCCTGTATTTTTTGTTTGGGCCCTTGGCCTCAGTGTCTGAGTGAGATGGAGCAATTTATTCTCCAATAGGGAGCAGCTCCTTTTCCATTCTCCCGTGGGGAGCTTTAGTTGTAGTTCTTGTGTTTGGTTGTTTTGTTGGTCGGTGAGTCGTGTTTTTGTTTCTAGCGGTTGCTAGCATCGGGCTTCTAGGCAGTCGTCAGACCTGTCCTCCAAGTTTACTCAGCTTAAGGGTCGTGTATTCAACCTTGGGTTGTATCTTTGCACATTTGTGCGTTTGTTATATATAATTCCTCTATCATTTTGGCAAAAAAAAAGAGCCAAATAATTTTACGCTATTTTTAAACTTTTGACTTTCCATTAAATATACAATTATTTTATAATTAATTTATAATTAATTTAGCATACTTCTAGATATATTTCAATTTAGGTATTCCCAAATATCTATAGAATTGCAAGATTCTCATAAATTTAATATAAAATATAAAATTTTTCAAATAAAGTAATAATGTTTTTTTTAAGTGAATAAACATCCAGAAGGTTGGGGGATTGAGGCGTGATCCTCAACTTCTATATAATCAAGACCCTAACTAGGCCGAATAAATTATATGTCTACACATGCTCAAACAAAAACGAAGAAAAGAAAAAAAAAACAATCAAAACAAAAAGTTTGAACCTGGTTTGACAGGTGCCCATACAAACAATCTACACCACAAAGTGGGCCAAAGTACAACAAACATAAAATGACTACTAGAATTTGAATGAAGGGTAGCCAAGCTGGTCCATACGCATTAAAATACGTTGGCGGAGAGGGGCTTCGTTGCGGTGAAAAGTGTGCCACTGGGGAATGGTGGCTCCGAGACTCGCCAGGAAGTCAGCGGGTCGGTTCCCTTGCGGAAGATGTGTGAGATTCGATAGCGAACCGACTTAAGTGTGGATCTTATGCGCATGAACGGATGCTGAATCTACCACGAGCCCTGATGGCCCGAGGTCAAGAGGGTGGTGACAACGGCAACATCGAGCTCAATCCAAGTGAGTAGAGATAGAGGCTATAATCTGAAGACCGATCTGTAGCGCCTGAACTTCTGCGTCGTAGCTCGAGGAGGCCTGAAGAGGGGGTAGAAGACGACAATCGAGCTCATCTGGGATCCCTAATCAGACTTCCGCTTCCGGCGGCTCCGGTTAGTCGATCGAAAGATCCGTCGATCGAGTCTCAGACAAACAACGACTCTGGGACATGAGTGCTGAAGAGGCGGCAGTGGTGTTGGCACGAGGTGGCGGGAGGCGTGCAGCCTGTTCAGTCTTTAGGCGTGAGTTTGCCAGAGCTGTGAGAAAAGAGATACATTGATCAACCTTCAAAACAATGTGAGAACACATAAAAGTAATATCCCTATGTTTCGCATTACAACTCTGTCGAGATGAACCATAGGTCATACAAAGAATGGAGAAACCCACGTGTCAAAAGTGTGTGCGCCTTGAGAACAACTCCTCTTTACCTAGATGAACACAGGATCAGACAAGTAATTGGGAAGCTCACGTGTCTAAAAAAAAAAAAAAAAAAGAAAAAACTCAGGGGAGAAAGAAACTATTTATAATGAGTAGATGCATATGAGTATATGTATATGAGCACAAAGTAATAATGTTTAACTGACCAAATTTTAATATGTCTAATTTATACTTCCAGTATAAATTGCTAAAATTTGAAATGAAATTGCAATTACCAAAATCTGAATATATTCATTCAGACACTCACCATGGTCATTGCTAAACCCTTGTTCAGCTCTAAAACGCCATTTTTGTTCCCTTCTCATCATAATTTCTGGAATTTCTTCGTCAAGGATCCTCAGTCTTCCATGGGTACGAAACCCATTTCCACAAAATGCCCATCCTCAACGCAAAATTATGCGCAGGAAATAACAGACGCCAAGGGCAGTATCAGCCTACAAGAATGGCAAGGTTGGGGCCCCATTTCGCCAGTACCCTCGATGGTTAATCAAGTTATTCACGATTTGAAGCTTTTGGAGAAAGAAGTTGGCGCTTGCATGACGTTTGATGGCAACCACGGCAAACTCTCGGTTGAAATTACAAACACCCAGTTCATATATATATATATATATGTGGATGCTGTGTAGAATTGCTTGTTTTGTGAATTCAGTTTTTCTTATCCTTAATTTCTGGATCACATGAGAACTTAATTTGAGTTAATGTGATGTGTAGGCAATAGTTTGATTTGGGCGGTGTCAAATATGTTGTTATGGTGAGATGTGGAAACTGTAACTAGTGTCTTATGTTGTTTATTGCAATTCTTAGATACGCTCACTTTTTTAGTGTCTTTGGTTTTGTTCTACTGTACTTTTGTGGTTCTCATTCTGGTACCTCCCTTTTGAATTTTCATCACCAGAATTCAGTGACCAAATATAGCATCGTATTTTAATGTCAATCTATAGGTACTGAATTGAAACAGAATGGTACAAGTATTGCTGTGGCTACTTCATGCGTTCTTTTCTGCAATGATGTTTTTTGTTAATTCTAGTTAACTACTAAAGTAGGTATCTCGAAATACTTCTTTTCTGGTCAGGATGTTTTGATTTTTTATGCTATTATTGATTCTTGTTTCACAGTTGCATGTTGACATAAAGAGTGTGTTAGATAATTGGAGTTTAGTTGACTACTTCTCGGGACATGTTCGCTTCAGTAAGACTATAGTTCATGTGCTAGCTTGACATTGTTCTTTTAGCTAACAGGGAGGTTTCAAGGTGCATGAGGACAAGAAACATAGAGCAGAATATGCGAATTTAGGTACTTCTGAAGAAAAAATCCAATTTTTTTCAGCTCGCCAAATAGCTTGCCGGTTACTTGGAAGTAGGGGTTATCTATGCCAGAAGGTATATAGTTGGTTACTTTTTTAACTTTTCGTTATGTCTTTATGTTTATACAAGTAATCGGTTGTCGCTTCTTCTGAAATATTATTCACCTCACTTGACTTACTATTTCTTTTCAATTTGATTGGGTAACATTCATTTTCTCCAAATATTTCTCATACTTGCTTTCCAAAATCTTCCCGCAGTGCTGGCTTCCATTGGAAGATTGCATGTGTTCTAAAGTTACAAAGTGTTCCCTTTGGCATAGAATCCATATTTGGTTGTATATGCATCCCAAGGTTTGAGTTTCTATAATCTTACTCCTCTAAAATTTATTTTTTTATCAGTTTGAAGAAGAAATGGAGTTATGCTCTGTTCACTCTCGTTTGAATTGCGTGAAAATTATCTTTTGAGCGTATTTTGGAAAATATTTATTTTTCACGAGAAAAGATTAAAAACAAAAGAATCTATGTGTTTACAGTTTACTTGATTTTAAATATAAAATATCTTTTTCTTTTAAATTGGGCCGTCGGCCTTCTGAAATGTAGGATCCAGCTTTCGAGATTGGTTTGAAGTAGGGTGTAGGATGAAAATAAGGTCATACTGTAAAATGATTTCAGAAATATATCCTAAAAAAGCCTGATACAAGTTTGTTCGTTTTCGAAAAATACAAATGATTTTGAAAGATAACTGCGAAGTGGTTGAACACTCTTTTTTGTTTTTCCTATTTTCTGTTATATGGCAATTCAATCGCATCCTCACATGGCATTTTCCCTTTTTTGGCAGGACTTCTTAAGACAGAACAATACTGGAAAGTTGTTGTGGCAAGTATTTGGTGTCAAAGCTGCAAGTTTGTGTCTCTTTGGTATAACTGAGGATGAGGAAATAATGTGGAATGAATTGAGTCGTTCAGGTAACTAAATCTACACTGGGCACCGTCCTAAATGTTTTACCCATCGTCTGAGTCTATTCTGGGGCTTTACATTTTCTATGAGCGGAGTGCATAATTTGGATGTAGATTTTGACTGCCCCCAAAATTATGAGTTGCTTTATGACTACCCCCTTCCCCTCCTTATCTTGACTGTCATTATCAACTATGTACACCATAGTTTTCTTCAATATTCTTTATCAGAAAATAATCTATGTATTGGCACACATGGAAAGATAATTTTCTCTATTTTTCTCTCTATAAGTGTCTCTTACTTAACTAACATTGTTTTTCAGGTAGAAACATGGTTTGGTGCCTCTACCCAAGTAAAAATGCTTTTACTGAATCTGTCAAGGATGGTGTTGGCTGTTCCATGAATCTAGAAAGCCAAGGAGTACCGGTAACATTCTATTGATCTAAATAATATAGGCACTAGTGAGATCTTTATCATGTACTAGGAAGATTCACGTGCTACGCACGTGGTATTATATAATTTTCTTTCCATTGTTTAACAAAAATTTGTGTATTTTATTATAAAATATAATATATAATACTATTAACTGAACTCTATGACAAATAAAATTAAATAAAAAAAAATATTGGTTAGAAAATCTAAATAAAATTAATATTTTTTGTGAAATTTTAAATGCTAAAGAAATTTATGTCGTCCTTGATTTTGTTATTTATTGATATCATCATTATTCTTAAAAGAATAATCATTATTACTGTCAAAATAATAGTTTTTTAATGTCTTTCTTTTACGTCATACTCTTTGAAAGATAACTCGAATATGCTATGACTATAATTTGTGATTATCATTTTTTTAATTATTGATTGGAAGATAACATTATGGTTTATTATCTATTATTTTGATCATAACTGTTGAAAATTCAATTATATTTGCACGTGTAATATTTCATAATATTTAGATATATATTTTCTCTGTATATAATGACATAAGAGATATAAATATTTGAAAATATCTTTAAAGTCGTAATTATTTTATAAAAAAAAAATTACTTGAAAATTATTAGGAACAATAACATCCTTGATTAATTAAAGGTGACCATCTATCTATATATATTGCTGTAACATTAGTTGATTGAAGGTACCTATATATGTATATTGTCCAAATAAATTATTGTTGCATTTCTTAAAATTGCATGCATGCATTATCATTTTCCTTCATGGATTTTCAAGACTATCTTAAAAGTGAAAAATAAATATCTATTTTAGATAAATTATAAAATGATGATTCTTTTATATTTTATTTTTATCTTAATATAATTTTTATATATTTGTATAAAGGTTATGTTTCCTACTTTTGAGAAGTGATTTGAAAATTATAATTTCTCTATGATTTATAAATAAGATTGACTAATGAAAATAAATTTTAAGTAAATGCATTAATAATTTTTCTTCAATTGATTTTAATTGTAACTATATATTTTTTAAGAAGTACACATATTTTGAAATTCAAGATTCAAAATTGAGTGTTAAATATTTTATTTTATTTGTATAATTAATCTATTTTGATGTATATTACAACTAAAGTAAATGATAGAGTAATTTATGTAACACACATTATCGTAAAAGAACATTCATACTATACATACTATTACTTGGTAAACCTAAATCGTATCATGCATATTGTTTTAGTGAATAACTAAACAAAATAATCCTATTAAGACTACATGTTAATTCACTTAACTAAGAGATTTTTTCCACAAAAAATTGATATTTTGTATGTTGAATAACTATTTTTGATTCAATCGTTATTAAACATATACATGTTCACTAAATTGTTTCCCTTTAAATTTTTTAATGCTATAACAAAAGTATCTATAGTAAAATAGGATATTTGGAAACTAGAGATGATAATTTCATTGGTGCATTATATATTTTTCGCTTATAAAATAAATATATTTTAATTACAAAACCTTAAAATAATATTCTCTCTTACATTTAAAAACTATATTTTTCTTAAATTTTAGTTTTAATTTATATATTTGTTTAGATAATCTTAACGTCTTTATATCAACTAAGAGAAATTAAATTATTAAATAGGTAACGAAATATAATAAGAGATTAATAAGATCATCGATGACAAAAAAAAAGGTAGAATGAAAAACAAATTGATTGAAAAAGTGATTGTAACTATTAATATTTGTGACTCCCTTACAGTTGTGACAAAATCACATTAGTAACCTTAAAAATTAATTATAGCGTATGGAATTTTCGACAATTCAATTTTTTCAAGAAACAATTCTCCCTTATAAGATAGTTATTTCAAAATTGAACTTCAATCCATTTCAATTATTCTAGGGATTTAAAATCCCATAGTGAAAATGAGTGAATTTATTTTGATTAATTTCGATTAAACTAAAAAAGAGAGTAGATTATTTATTACATAAAAATTGTATTTTTACTTATAAAAAATGATTATTATCGTATTAACTTGTTATCATGATATATACTTCAATGGATTTTTACTAAATTTTGAAAATGACAGTGAACATTCACGACCATTCAACTGTAATTAGTATTCAAAATATATCTTAGATTAGAGTTGATAATAATAATTTGTAACTCATTTGCTCACATTTAATTAAAAGACTAATACATTCTGAATGTTGAAAATAAGGTCCTAAATTATAGTTTCATTTTTTAAAATTTGAAATTCTAAACTCATCATTACATGTATTTTATCTTTATAATAGATATGAGTAAACATTTAAAGACATAGTGATGAAAATAAACATTGATGAAGGTAATTTGTAATTAATATGTATTGAAAATTAAAAGGAATATTTATTATATATTTTAATACTTATTATTACTTATATGTATTACTAACTTTTCTAAATCGTGGAAGCATCATACTACTTTTTTTTT